AATTATACCTGTTACAGATTTTAATAAAAAAAAAAAGAATAGAAATATTACACCTTTAAAACACAATGATAGATTCTGACCTTTAGATGGCAGTAATTGGTCAAGATTGGGATCTGATTTTTTGAACAATTTTAAAGACCTGGATAAAAAATGTACAAATAAAATGGACTTAAAACTAAAGTTCAACAGTCAAATAATTGTGATTCCTACAGCTGATGTCATTGCTTATTTGATTAGTTTATTTTTCAATAATTAACTTTTTCCCTCTGTGATACACAAAAAATTAGTTATCAGTTATTCAAATTGGAAGTTTATGTTATTCATCAAAGCATTTTGCAAATGTTGTATAGGACCAATTAAAACCATCATAAAACAGCAATTAATTTAGAGAAACTAAATGTAACGGAATCTGTTGTCAAAGCTTAAAAAGCAAATAACAGAAGTAGCGGCACATTATATGCTGGCTTACTTGCTCTTAATGTATTTCAGTTGAAAAATTTGTATTTGATTTGATTTGATGAGCATTTATGTTAAATGCTTCTACAGTATCTTCTGAGTATTGGGAATTTATCGCTAGTTATTTATTAAAAAAAATGTCTTTTCATCTGAAGGTTTAATAGAAACAATTTAACGTTTCAACCTGAAGCTGTTAAACTAGATTGACTTGATGTAACATAAAGAAAATGAATAAGATTGCAAATACAACACAGACAAACAGGAATGACGCAAAACAGTCACTATGACCCCAGAAAACAAAACAAAAAACACTATAAACTAAAATTTTGCGGTTGTTCATGAAATATTGCTGGTTCCACTTAAGAAACTGATGTTCTTTAAACTTAAAAGAAGTTATTCAGATTTCAGTTTTAGTTCTGCTCATAAGTTCCACCTTTCCTGCTAATCCTAAAAATGCTGCTGTTCAATAAAACGTTATATATTTTATTTTTATTGCATCCTGAGCCCACTGCTTGCTTTTACTTAGTTTTCTCTCTAATATTTTTGCTGCTATGGTTCTTTGATTTTATATTTACGTATTGTTTGTTCAACCATCTATGTGTTTATACTCCTGTTATTTTCTGTGTAGTTCATAATGTTCTTAAATTCAGGATGGGAAAATGTTTTCATCTTCTACATGCAAAAAAAGATTGAACTCTAAAAATGCTTCTGCATCTCTTTTTAAATGCAACATTTTTAAAAGCTAAAATAACTGTATGATTTTTGTCGTAAGTGAAGTACAAATTATTTTAAAAGCATATTCTGAAAACTTTCCACCTGACTTTCTACCCAATCTGCCAGATTACTATATAAAAACGCTTTAAGTTACTAATCTGTTTAATACAATCTAAGGTAAGAATATAACAAACAAAAATATAAACAATAAAATTTGTTTATATTACTGTTTTTATATATATATATTTTTTTTACTATTTTTCCAGGCTGAACTTAAAAAAAAAATGAAACAAAATATCTTTCTTTTTTACACTTGTGTAAACAAAATGACAAATAAATTTTTAAGGTTTAGAAAACTTTGTTTTCAGAAATCTTGCTTTGTGAAACAGACCCCCTTGCACTAAAGGTGGACTATAAGGCCTGACTCAAAATCTTTGCACTAATTATTGAAATAACAATAACAACAACCCAACATCTTGTACTGCAGCAGGAAGAAGCCATAAGCAAAACTTTGTCCTCAGTGTCAAAAATGTTTTTATATACTAGAGCTGGGGTCTTCAACTTTTTACAAGCCAAGGACCCCAAACTAATGACCAGATGGAGCAGGGACCCCCAAATTATATATAGTATGAAATAGAGTTCTATCAAACTGGTCCTATAGTCACTCTATTACAGATGTAGTAATGTAACTAAAGTAATCCTTCCCTGGGATTATTAAAGTATTTCTGATTCTTGGTTGATGGGACAGGTGTCGTGAATGAAACGGTGTCCAGCTTGAAAGAGCTCCTGTGTGTCGCTGAATGTGAGCATTGATGACTGAAAGACATCTTCTGCCTCCATTAATCTGTTTACTACAGTCTGTTGGATTCATGTTCATGTGGATTTAAAGACATTTCAACTAGTGGAAAAATCGCCGGTGGGTATATAAAAAAAAAAAAACAAGTCTAATCAACCAAAACTTTCGGAAACCTCATGCAGTAAGTAAGTGGATCCCCTAGGGGTCCTGGACCCCCTGTTGAAGACCTCCGTACTAGAGCATTAGAGCTTCTTTTGAAGTAAAGCAAAGGGCCTATCTCACCTCAGGAATTGCTGTGATATCCTTTGCACTCAACTATACACTGAAAACTGAATTGTTTAAGGCAGTGGTTCCCAAAGTGGGGCCAAGAAGAAAATCTTTGGGAACCACTGGTTTAAGGAATACACTTCTGAGAACATCTCCGCTGCTCAGTCCTGTGGTGGTTTGTTTTACAGAACACCACTGCATGCTAATCGTGATTCATTAATTGGATTCCACAAACTGATTGTGAATTTTTTTTAGTATTTAATAAATTTCCCCCCAAACATATTGCAGCGGTGGAAACCTATGATGGTACCACGCTCAATTTCTCTGAGCCTCTTAAAGTAACTTTTTCTTTTAAAAATGGTTTAGGAACTGTCACAGGGATTGAATGATTTAGATATTTGATTTAGATAAATGTGTCTACCTTCTCATTATCAGTCCCACCTTTAAAAAATCTAAAGATTTGTTCAAATAGACAAATAGGTTGTCCCAAAATAAGGTTTGTCAGCTATTCTGTTAAAAACGCAAAATGATAATTTCCTTGGCGATCTGTCTCAACAAATTATTTTCAAGAACGAAAAATGGTAAATAGAGCAAATTTTATAAATTGAGCTTTCCTTCTTTTTTACCGTAATGGTTGAAAAAATACTTTAGGCCAAAGAATCTTTCTTATCAAGTCCTGATGAGCATTGTATGTGATAATTTAGCACTCTAACAGCAAAATACTTTTGTTTACAAGTTATTGTCACATTTATGTCCCATCTAGCAGACCATCTCATTTTCTGATTTAAGATTTTGCTCTGGAATACCCAAGTCTCAGTATCCAAGACCTTTTTGCAACTAAATAGGTGCTGTTATGTTTTTGGTAAAGTTGCTCTTTGAACCTTGGATACAGCAAATTACACTCCACAACAGAATAACAGGTGGTGTCATAATCGCAGCAGCGGTAGCTGATCTGATTACTCACTTCACTCACCTGCTGTGATCTTATTCAGTTGCTCCCTCTGCTATATATATGGTTCAGCCCAACTATCGGGGTAAGATCACTATTCTCTGTTTATTCGTGTAGTCTTTGTTGTTGATGTTTGTTTTCGAGTTTTATTTAAGTTCCTGGTTCATCGCCTGACTCTTGGAGGCCAGTGGATTAAGTGGGTTTGGTGTTTGTCTCCTGATCGTATCCCAGCTCTTCTTCCCCGAGCCCTGAGCTTCTTGGCTCGGCATGCGGGGGTGTGGTCAGTTTTAATTCCCGTAAGCATGGCTCCAAGGTGGAGACCAGTTTAAAGTGCAGCAGTAATTCCGGGTACCATGTCTTATCTGTGTCCCTCAACCACTGAGCCTGCCTGTCTCTATCTGAGCGTGTCTGTCTGAGCTCACTGCTGGACTTATAGAACGCCGAACCTGCCTTCACGCTTTTAGAATTCCTGGAACCCTGGATCTGTCTGTTCCTGTTCGGATCGGAACCCCTGGTCAGGCTATGGAACTGTCCTGTTCTGGACTGTTTCTGACCTGGATCGCTCTCCTGCCTGTTCACTGGGGCTGCTGCATCGGGGACACTTTGGACGGACCCGAGCTGCAGCTTGTTTGGCCGCCATCCGCTGGATTCTGCCTTCCTCAGAGAGGATGGACTGAACTGTTAAACCAGAGTGTCAGTGATTGCGTGGAGCCCCGCCCCACTCCTGCAGCCGCTGCGGTCCGCTTTTTCTCAGCAGCCTGCATTTCTATTCTGTTCAGTTTTATCACTTCAGTCATTAAACATTTTGAAACTTCCCATTGTCTGACTCGCCTTGAACACTGGGTCCATCTGTTCGGTTTGATGTCAGGTGGACACAACTGGAGTTGTTGCTTTTATCATCAGGCAAATCATCACTTTTCAAGTCAGACAGCTTCACATCTAATCCAGAGGTCGGTCACTTAACCACCATATATGCCTTGTTAACCAATCAATAACCAGTCTTGATATGATAATCAGCATCTAATGAAGCATCTGGCCTAAGCTAATTGTATTTATAAGTGGCCATGAATCTATTCTCCTTTATTTCTTACCATCCACTATATATATCTGGATGCACTGTATATACGTCATGCAACTTTTACTCCTTTGTTCACCTTCTGTTTCTTTATCATAGCCAATGTCAGGTAAATATAATGGTGAATTCCTGTGAATTTCTCCATTGTGAGATCAACACAATTCTATTCTATTAAATGTTTATGATGCAAAATTATGAAAGCTCTACATTAACCCCCCAGAAGCCAGTTTCATTAAAGCAATGTTTCACTATCTTTGGATTTCTTTGATTTACATATCGACGTCATCACTGACAGACGACGGCTTTGAAATATGCAAAATTCCTGCACTGGAAAAAATCGAAATCTAGACCAGTCATGCTTGAATTGAGGAGGTAAGTGAGACACGTTGCCAATGGAATAAGACAATTTACATTTAAAATAAGAAAACACAATTGCATTGTCTTATTTCAAGAGCATTTTATCCAAATATCTAATTTTAAGAGTAAAAATACTCATTCCACTGGCAAATCATCTCATTTGCCTGCTCAAATTAGGAGTAAATACACTTAATTTAAGACATTTTTGCTCATTTTTAGATGGTTTTTCCAGTGTGTCTCATATTGTCCACAATAAATATCACCCTAGATGCAACCAAGCTGCTTGTTTCTAATGATTAAATAATGTTGAGCAACATTTTACCGGTGCAAAGTGAATTTAGACTTCCGAGACAATATCAGATAACAATGACAGGAGTTGAGTTGCATGTTTTTATTTGATTAGATGATAAAGAATCCACTTAAGTGGTAAATTACTTTCTAATATTGTTAAAGTGGTACAAGATAAAACATTTCTGATGTTCAGTAGAGCCGTATTACAGCAGTGTTGAGCTGCGCTTTCTGCGAGCACGTAGCCCTGCAGTTGTGGTGCACTCAGTATGGCCACAGCCACACTCCTCCACATGCATGTAGGTATGGGTGAACCTGCTTCCATCCAAGCACAGCAAATCAACGGTGCGATTACTGGATCGGGTTTCCCTACAGCAAGAGCAGGAATGTTCCATAGCAGCGGCAGCTTCAGAGTACCTGAAATGGGAGTGCATATTTTCATTATCTAAGCTCCACACCTGCATTTATTAGTTCTTTTAAATAAAGAAAGAAATTGTATTATCCCTACTTGGTGAACGTATTGCAAGATCCTTCACAGTATGGCATATCCACCTCCTGTTCAGACTGACAGCCGTCCCGTGTAACGCGAGTTTTCATGTTCACTATCTTGCAGGCTTTATCTTTCTCCACACCTTTAAAAAATCCTCTGGGTTAGGTGTTTTAAACCTAATAACGTTCATCAAACTGAAAGGAAAATATCATACTCACAGATTTTACAGCAGCCATTTGCTGCAGTTTGAATTGTGTCCTGGGGAGAAAAATATACATTATAAAATAATCTTTTACTTTCATCTTTTGTGACAAATCATTATTCCAGGTTTAATGGTTGACAATAATACATACAGGTTGGCAGTTACTCTCTTGGAAAGATGGACAGATGGTGAGTGAACTTAGTGCTGTAAGTGTGTCACCAGTCCTCATACAGGTGTAGCGCTCACACATGTTTTCAGGTGGTGACCAGGTTTCTCCTTCCTTCAGATCAGCAAGTAAAGATATTTAAACACTGCGTCAAATTGTACTAATATATATGGAAATACTGAACCAATAGAGGGGAACCAACTTACCTTTAAGAGTTGCTTGGTGCCATTAAGGTTCAGGACACATTGGTTCTGTACACACTTTCCACAGCATTCATCAGAGGTAGTTTCTACATAACCATATCCCTAAAATAAAAAAAAAAAAGCAAAAAAGTTAAACTCAGTCTCATACTGAGCAGGTCCTGTTTTACAAGAAGGCATTTTGTAAATAACTGAAATTTTCTTACCATGTCACAGGTCTCATCACATAACGGAAACTCGCACACTACTTTAAACAGATCCGATTTTGGGTCGACTTCGTTGGTGCAGATACATTCCTGGCATGGATTCGCAGGAACTGAGGAACCAGGCTGAGAAAAAAAAAAAAAATTATCTCATACATGCACTCAGATACAGTCACACATCAGGGAATTTATACATATATATATATAGGTATATAAATTTTTTACCTGGTATTCAACATCCTTATGGACACAAACTCGTTTAGGCTCTAGGAATGTTCAAGAAAATGAAAAAGATAAAGTTAACATGGGAGGGAGTCAAAGCCTGCAGCAGCCATGAAGCACACCAGAAGCACATGTCAAAATAAAAGATGAACCTTTAAAACAATTACAGATTTACCAAATACTGTGGTGGAGAGCTGCAACATGCATGTCATGTTTGAATAAGTATAATTTACTCCTTGGGTTTATGAATTTATTAAAAAAGAAATACTAGTACTTAGGGTTGTCAAAAGTATCGATATTCAAAAAAGTATCGATACTGAAACGTTGTATCCGGATACAATAGTCGTTTTTAAAAGTATCGATACAGTGCTACCACCAGTGGCACCTAAGCAGTCATTCATCTAAAGTGCAGAATAGAGGAAATTGCACTTTCTGAAGACTGTGATTGAATAATTCTACGCACTTTTCAGTTTCAGACTTTTTTTTGTAACAGCTGCAGCTGCTGAGAATTATTTTTGTTTCTTAACCAGTTTGGCTAGTGTCATTGTTATGTGTGCAAAGCATAGCCAAGGAAGGAACACTTCATTTTAATTTTATAAGTTTTTTATCAAGCTTGCTTAATATTGTACACAGCATACAACCGTTATTGTATTTATTTATTGTATTTTATTTATTAATGAAAATATTTCTGTAGAATTTTGGAGTCTTTGTTTTTATCCTTGTGGTATCGAGTATCGAATATTTTCCTTAGTATCGGTATTGAGTTGAAAAGTTCAGTATCGTGATAACCCTACTAGTACTATAAAGAAATACTAGTACTATAAAGATACTATAGGTGCACCGTCTTGTAGTCCGCACATAGGTTATACCACCAATCCTGCAGCACTGTCAGCATGTTCCTTTTTTTAAAAAACATGTTTGCTCTTATCACTTTATTATTACTTTAATAACCAGCTTGAGTTTATTAGTTTTATTTTCTCAGCATTTAGACCCTAATCATGTGATCAAATTTTAACATAGTTCTTGATGCTTAAACTTTATTCTGTTGTGGAAAAGAAATCTAGTTCCATCAAACCATAATCTTATAAACCGTGTCTCTCTTTCACGGTTTCTCCACTAATGCAATGGTAAGACGTTAAATGTTGCACTTAAACCTATTCTTTCATCCTTTTTCTTACTTTATATTCGCTGAATTTGGTGTAAATTTGAGTTGAATATATTTGTTTCACTTTATTACATGTTCTGTATTTTCCCATTAATGTTTTGTCTTTTCTTTTGTTTGGTTAAATATATAATAAAACTTTAAACTGAACCACAGTGCCTCACCACATGAATATTCTGGACAACATTTTCCTTCAGGAACACTGAGGACTGGCCTGTATCCAACAGGACAGCTCTTAGAGTTTACTGGGCACGTGTTGATTTGGCATTCTGTGAAAGATTAATACATTGGCAGAGTTAAATATTGAATAGCAGCAGCAAAAATGTTTAATTAAAAAACAGGGATTGATGATAGGTGTCTTACGACAAACATAGGTAAAGCAGCAGGGATCCGCAGGATTTGTTTGGTTCACAGCAACAAACCCTGGATCTGTGCAGAGTGCACTGGGTTGTACCGGGCATGTCTTAGGTTTGCAAATCACAGTTTTGGTCGGCTTATCACAAATGCAGTCCTGGCATTTGTACTCAAACTTCTCGTTAAACTGAAAGATTAAACCCCAGTTGTGAGTTAAAAGTCTTTTGCAATAGATTTCAGGAGTATACAATCAGGAGGAGCAATGTTGTCTCACCTCGCGGGAATTACCCTCTGGATCAAGACATCCTGTTAGAGAATTAAGAGCAATACTGAATCAATTTGCGTTTGATTTAATAAATAAATTGAGGTTTTTTGCAGCTTTAGGTGAGATATATCCTGCTTACCACACTTCTTAACACATATTCCTGATTCTTTGTTGAAGAGTTTCATTCCTTCAGGGCAGAAGCAGCCCTCAGTAGTAAAATTTAGGGTTGTTTCCTCTGGACTGCAAAGGACAATTCAATTGCACAGTTTAATTATATCAGGAACAACAACACTAGTACTTTTTTTGGATAGAGGCATAAGGAAAACATGTAATACAATCATTCCATATTCTAAATCTGTGCGAGAACGTACTTGTCTTCACAAGTTGGCTGTTCTACAGGACCACAAGGCTTATATACCTTGTCAGATGGGCAGTCGTTAGCTGTTGATAACAAAAGACCAAATACTTAAAAGAAAAGATCAAACAAAATGTTGTCTTATAAAGCGTGGTTTTGTGTGTTGTTTAAGTGCTTAATGATGCAAATATAAAAATAATCCTTTTTCCATTTCAATCTGCTGCCTCAGTATAAAATATGAAGTGTATCTTACCGCAGATTTTGGTGTGGTTTCTCCAGTGGATGCAAATTCCAGCCTGAGCACAGGCAGCAGCATAAGTCTGCAAACTTGTGCACTCTACTGTAGGATTCAAAACGTGGCAGCTATCAAAAACACAACCTTTGTAGAAATTGTCTGGGGAAACGAAGGGGTGACATTCTGCAAAAACACTGCAAAAAAAAAAATACAAAGATAAACAAAATTAGGTCGTTTAAACTTACTTAAGAAAATAATTTTAGGCATAAACAGTTGGTACAGGTCTGTCTACCTTTCCTTAATCATATCGCAAATGGAGTCTGGCTTGCATGGAGTTGGTTCTAATGGTGACTCAGGTACATCAGTTGGTACTGAAGGTGGTGTTGGGCAGTTGGGTTGATAAATGTTACCCGCTGGCCAATAGTCTGCCATCACTGCACAATTTCCCACCAGTTCGCCTGTCGGCAGCCTGCAGTCATCAGCCTGATTGTTGGTGCATGTTCCTAAAAATGGTTTTAAACAGTTTTAATTCACCTAACATCCTAAATTCTAATCCGAGTAAAGATTTGAGATAGAGCTCTTACCACAATGACCCTCTGTGTTGCCTCCAAAGTTCTGATATGGAAGGTTGACACTAAAGCCAGTCATTCCAAATGTAATTACAACTTTTAGGCGAGGGATCTCATAAACCAAGTTAATCCCAGAACTCATGATCTTAATCCCATCTTTTGAATGAGGTAGTTTCAGTTTTTCACCATTTTCTAATGCCTAAAGGTACATAAAACAAAATGAAGGAAAAATGTCATATAACTGATGGAAAAATTATAAAATGAGTGCTACTCCATTGGCATTGATCAAATATCACCTCAAGCTAGTTACTACTAAATAACTTTTTAAAATTTTACCTCTAGTTGTGGAGCTCCAACAAGGTTATGATTGATGAGAGTGACAATTTTAAATCCATATTCTATAGTTAATGATCTTGGACAAGAAACATCTTCAGTGGGATCACAAAATACATTGTCAATATATATCTTTAGATTGAATTTTGGTGTGATCTCCTCCATCAAAACATAAGTACAGTTTCCTTGGTAACTGTAGTATAAACCATCAAATGTGATGTAATGAGGATCTCCCCAGCCTTCGCATACACCTAAATAAAAAAAAAAGACAATGCAATATCAAAATATAATTTGACTTAAAGGGAAACTTAAATGTTAAACATACCGGTTAGTCCGCACAGAAACACTTACAGTCACAAACATAATGTTGGCAGCAGTAGTACTCATCATATGCAAGAACAGGTTTCTTTCCATTGGAACATGTTATGTTCTGGAGTGGTGGACACTCATACGGAACTATTTCAATGGTGTTGTTCTCAATGCATTTGGCCATGGTGCAGTTGCATAAGAAAAAGGTCTCATTTTGCTTAAAGGCAGAAAATAAAAGAAGACTTTAGTACAATTTAGGATCATTTAATACAAAAATTGTAACACAATTTCCCTTTGTGAATTTCATCATTCTGCCTCATTCTATCTCTATTCTCACACTCTGCAGAATCTGTTAGTTCAATCTCTAACATTCTGTTTTCTCTGCTTTTTCTCATAGTAGCTTCATCTGGTCTGTTCCTGTTTGGCTGTGACTCCATCCTGGAGAGAAATATGGCCGCCCTATACAGTTGCCTTTTGTATCTATGCTTCTTTTTCTATGTCTGCTTCTGTCTCCTTGAACCCCAGTGGGCCTCAGCAGATGGCCGCTCACACTGAGCCTGGTTCTGCTGGAGGTTTCTTCCTGTTCAAAGGGAGTTTTTCCTCTCCACTGTCGCTACAAGCATGCTTAGTGTGAGAGGGATTACTGAAGAGTCAATGAGTCGATGCAATCAGCTGGTTTTACTTAGATAGAAAACTTTAGATCAGTCTGACTGGATGATCTGGTGAACTGGAAAGTTCCTTGAGATGACAAGAGTTGTGAATTGGCGCTATAAAAATAAACTGAATTGAACTGTATTACTTCTGCAGTTAAAGTGAAAGAGTTAAAGTTACACAGCTAGTAAGATCATTTGAGAAAAAATATTTGTATAAACAATAAATAAACCCCATAAGCATTAATTTTAGCATGCTTATTAGAGTAAATAATTGTTTATTTTTGTGTTGTGTAAAACAAATAGTGGTTTGGAACAGTTGATATAGTTCAGAATATATACATAGGATTTAAAGGGGCACAGTCACATCACATTATATGCCTATACAAAAAAAAAAAAAAGAACCATTTTATATATCCTAAAAATATGGTTATAAACACCACGCATCCATCCTGGTATTTCTTGAATATATTTTTTTTTCTTAGCCTAAATGGAATCCCTGCACCGTAATAAACATGATTAGACATGATTAGAAAGCTTGCACTAAAGCTGATCTTTTTGGCCTTTTCTCTGACAGAAAAATGATCTCTATACCTTCCAGAGATGACTACTGCATCCGTAAGCAAACCAAGACTAATTTATCACGATACACTTCACAGTAAGCCTATCTATATACAGTCAGAACTAGTCATTACTACAGAGTTACTTAACACCAACAACACCCCCCACACCCCAATGGTGACCCGAGGTCACCAGGTGTAAATAATGTCACATGGTGCTATCTTTTTATGTAAACCCAAAACACTAGCCTCGTGAGACCATCCTGATCTTGCGAGCTTTCAAGGTTTCACTCGCAGATCAGTCTGGAGACTCTCCGTTAAAGAAAATTTGGAGCCGTTCACCAAACGAACGTCCAATCAGCGTTGGCTTTGAGGCGGGTTGAGGTGTGATGCAACGAGAAGCGCGACAGTTCAGTCTAAAGAACATGCCGGCTTCAGCCGATGAAACTAGCGTTAGCGTGGCTATCGAGCAAGTTTTATCGGAATTACAGAGTATTTCTTCACTGAAAGAAGAGCAAAACACTGCTCTGGAGGCTTTTCTCAGAGGAAAAGATGTTTTTGCTGTTCTCCCAAATGGTTTCGGCAACAGTTTGAGTGCTCCCTAGCTCTGTTAGTACGTCATATGCTTCGTTGATCTGATTGGTTTATTTGGCCCGTCTATCACCAACATAGGCCAATCAGCTAACCAGTATTTTCGCCCCTTCCCAAAATGACTTCAACGGAAGGTTTCCAGATGGATATGCGGAGCAAATCCATCTGGCGGAGTCAGGTTACCAAAACACATCATCACAAGGCAATACAGCCAGTCAGATTGGTAGTTTCTATTAAAGAAAACCAGCTGATTACTCCTCCTGGATCAGCTTGTGGCTCATTTACATCTTGTTGTTGAATCTTCAGTAATCACACCAAGCATGTATGCGTTGAAAGTGGAGAGGAAAAGTCCTGTTTTAACAGAGGGTAACCCCAAGCAGAACCAGGCTCAGTGTAACCAGCCTTCTGCTGACCCTGACTTTGGTGACTCTTATGGGAGATACAAAAAAAAGCAGATATAAAAAATGTAAGTATTAAATAGCCAGATATGCTGAGCTACATCTCATCTCAAAGGATGAAAGAAAGCAAATGCATTTAGTTACAGTAAAAGACACAAGACTACATTGAAAAAAAGCCCAAACCCTACATATGCAGACAAAGGTGCTGATGGCAGCAGCCCAGATGATAATTCTTTCTTGGATGCAGTCACAATCAAACAGAAACAGAACAGATTAAGCTAATAGGACAAGAAAAAAGCAGAGAACATAAGTTTTGGTTGGAACTAAACAATATGGCAGAATAGGAGAATATAGATAGAATGAAGCAACATTATGAAAAGGGGTATCTACCTCATCCAGTAGTCTAAAAGTATTCTGTAGCAACATAACTATAGAGGCATGAGAAGGGAGTATCTATCTGGACTGAAATCTCCCCCGCCGGATCAGGCCATTCACTAAACCTCCTCCTTACAAAGCAACTAAGCAAACATCACTTTGTTTTTAACTCTAAGCTTTATCATAAAGGAAAGTTTTAAGCTTAGTCGTTAAAGTAGACAGAGTGTATTTCACAAGGACTAAAACTGGTAGGTGGTTCCAGAGTGGAGAAGCTTGAATATTACCAGATCTGTCTCCCATTCTTTTAAAAACATTTTTTGAAATTCTGGGAACCACTAGTAAACCTGCAGATTGAGAGTGAAATATTTTGTTAGGATCAGAAGGAACAATCAGATCTCTGATATAAAATGGAGCTTGGTTATTTAGGGCATCATACGTCAGTGGGAGAATTTGAAATTATATTCTGGATTTAACAGGAAGCCAATAAAGGAAAGCTAAGTTAGCAGAAATGTGACCTCTTTTAAACATTTCATCCAAACTCTGGCTGCAGCATTTTGGATCAGCTGAAGACTTTTGTGGACTTCTTGATAGAAAATAATTCAAATAGTCCATCCTTGAAGTAACAAATGCATGGTCTAGTTTCTCAGCATCATAAATGGGCATGATATTTTTAATTTCTGCAACATTACTGAGATGAGAGAAGGAAATTGTATAAACCTGTTCGATATTGGGTTTTAAATTACATGTCCTAATGAAAAATAAAACCAAGTTTTTTTATTCTATTATGTGAGATCAATTTAATCCATCTAGATGAAGTGACTGACCAATCAGTTTCTAATTGTCTTTTAGACATTTTGCTTCTATGCATACATAAGCAGTATTTTACATCGCGACTGGTTGTGTTGCTTTTGTAATTATAAATATAAGGGCTTTAATCATTAACAGACTGACAAAAAGAAAAGAAAAATCCCCAAATAACAAACTATACACCAGCAGAAGGCGGCATAAAAAAAAAAAAAAAAAAGCTATGCAACATGTTTGAGCTACTGGACTGAATAAATTAAGTTATATAACGGTAATAAGTACCTTAAAAAGTCTTCAATAAAAGAATAATTTTCACAAGAAAGAAAGAAAATTCTTACAACAGCATCCCAGTCAGGACAGGATGGTATATAGGATGTGGGAGAAGGTGAAGGTGTTGCTGCTGGGGTGCTTTGACATAATCCAGTTTTGTTATGGATTTCACAAACATCAGAACAAATCATTGTAAGACAAATGCCTGATCCAATAGGGTGCATAAGAAAAATAGTCTCCCCTAAAAGGGTGGCAGATAATGAAAGTTAGTTATTGTAATCAGATTTTTAAAATATATGAGATGAGACATTAAATTCATTACCTGGCTGATAAATTGTGCCATCAAAAATGCAGAAGCACATTGTGGTTGTACTTGGTGTAGTTTTTGCTGATGGTGGGGTTTCAGTTGTTTGTGTTGTATGTTCACTGACAAGTGGTAGAGTTGACAAGACTGGGGATGTTGGCGGGGGGCCAGTAATAATTGATTGTGTGGTTGTTGTTAACTGGGGGCTTGTTGTGGGTGATGAAAAGAGAGTTGTCATTTCCATTGTAGTAGTTGTTAGTGGAGGTAACGTAGGAAGAGATTTAGTAGTGGTACTTGGCTCTATGGTCAAAGGTGGACGTTTTGTTGTTTTAGGTGGTTCAGAGGTTGGAGCAGGCGGTGGTGTTGGGGAATGAATGGCTTTTGTGGTTGTGGATGGTGCTATAATATGTGTAGTTGAGATCTCAATTGAAGGGATCACTTTTGTGGTGCTGGAGAGTTTTGGTGTTGTTGAAGATGATAATGTAGGTGTGGATATGGTGGTAGTAGATTGTTCAACGACTGTTGTGGAGGGTTGGGAAGTTGTTGTAGGGGATGTACTGGTTGGAGTTGTAATTTTTGTAGTTGTAGGTGGCCTTGGGGTTTGTGGTGTAGGAGTAGCCTTTGTGGCTGTTGATGGTTCAGAAGTTGTAGGTTTCTCTGTTGAGGAAGAAATTACCTTTGTGGTTGAGGACTGCTCTGAGATAGCTGTTGATGATGTTTGAGGTGGAAGGGTCACTTTTGTTGTCGATGATTTTGGTGTTGTTGTAGATGTTGGTGTAGGGATGATCTTGGTGGTTGTGGCTGGTTCAGAAGTTGCTGTAGGAGGTGCGCTGGTTGGAGTTGTAATTCTTGTTGTTGTAGGTGGCCTTGGGGTTTGTGGTGTAGGAGTAGCCTTCGTGGCTGTTGATGGTTCAGGAGTTGTAGGTTTCTCTGTCGAGGAAGAAATTACCTTTGTGGTCGAGGACTGCTCTGAGATAGCTGTTGAGGATGTTTGAGGTGGAAGGGTCACTTTTGTTGTCGATGATTTTGGTGTTGTTGTAGATGTTGGGGTAGGGATGATCTTGGTGGTTGTGGCTGGTTGAGAAGTTGCTGTAGGAGGTGCGCTGGTTGGAGTTGTAATTCTTGTTGTTGTTGGTGGCCTTGGGGTTTGTGGTGTAGGAGTAGCCTTCGTGGCTGTTGATGGTTCAGGAGTTGTAGGTTTCTCTGTCGAGGAAGAAATTACCTTTGTGGTTGAGGACTGCTCTGAGAAAGCTGTTGATGATGTTTGAGGTGGAAGGGTCACTTTTGTTGTCGATGATTTTGGTGTTGTTGTAGATGTTGGTGTAGGGATGATCTTGGTGGTTGTGACTGGTTCAGAAGTTGTTGTAGGAGGTGCGCTGGTTGGAGTTGTAATTTTTGTTGTTGTAGGTGGCCTTGGGGTTTGTGGTGTAGGAGTAGCCTTTGTGGCTGTTGATGGTTCAGAAGTTGTAGGTTTCTCTGTTGAGGAAGAAATTACCTTTGTGGTTGAGGACTGCTCTGAGATAGCTGTTGATGATGTTTGAGGTGGAAGGGTCACTTTTGTTGTCGATGATTTTGGTGTTGTTGTAGATGTTGGTGTAGGGATGATCTTGGTGGTTGTGGCTGGTTCAGAAGTTGCTGTAGGAGGTGCGCTGGTTGGAGTTGTAATTCTTGTTGTTGTAGGTGGCCTTGGGGTTTGTGGTGTAGGAGTAGCCTTCGTGGCTGTTGATGGTTCAGGAGTTGTAGGTTTCTCTGTCGAGGAAGAAATTACCTTTGTGGTCGAGGACTGCTCTGAGATAGCTGTTGAGGATGTTTGAGGTGGAAGGGTCACTTTTGTTGTCGATGATTTTGGTGTTGTTGTAGATGTTGGTGTAGGGAGGATCTTGGTGGTTGTGGCTGGTTCAGAAGTTGCCGTAGGAGGTGCGCTGGTTGGAATTGTAATTTTTGTTGTTGTAGGTGGCCTTGGGGTTTGTGGTGTAGGAGTAGCCTTTGTGGCTGTTGATGGTTCAGGAGTTGTAGGTTTCTCTGTCGTGGAAGAAATTACCTTTGTGGTTGAGGACTGCTCTGAGATAGCTGTTGATGATGTTTGAGGTGGAAGGGTCACTTTTGTTGTCGATGATTTTGGTGTTGTTGTAGATGTTGGTGTAGGGATGATCTTGGTGGTTGTGGCTGGTTCAGAAGTTGTTGTAGGAGGTGCGCTGGTTGGAGTTGTAATTCTTGTTGTTGTAGGTGGCCTTGGGGTTTGTGGTGTAGGAGTAGTCTTTGTGGCTGTTGATGGTTCAGGAGTTGTAGGTTTCTCTGTCGAGGAAGAAATTACCTTTGTGGTTGAGGACTGCTCTGAGATAGCTGTTGATGATGTTTGAGGTGGAAGGGTCACTTTTGTTGTCGATGATTTTGGTGTTGTTGTAGATGTTGGTGTAGGGATGATCTTGGTGGTTGTGGCTGGTTCAGAAGTTGCTGTAGGAGGTGCGCTGGTTGGAGTTGTAATTCTTGTTGTTGTAGGTGGCCTTGGGGTTTGTGGTGTAGGAGTAGCCTTCGTGGCTGTTGATGGTTCAGGAGTTGTAGGTTTCTCTGTCGAGGAAGAAATTACCTTTGTGGTCGAGGACTGCTCTGAGATAGCTGTTGAGGATGTTTGAGGTGGAAGGGTCACTTTTGTTGTCGATGATTTTGGTGTTGTTGTAGATGTTGGTGTAGGGATGATCTTGGTGGTTGTGGCTGGTTCAGAAGTTGCTGTAGGAGGTGCGCTGGATGGAGTTGTAATTCTTGTTGTTGTTGGTGGCCTTGGGGTTTGTGGTGTAGGAGTAGCCTTCGTGGCTGTTGATGGTTCAGGAGTTGTAGGTTTCTCTGTCGAGGAAGAAATTACCTTTGTGGTTGAGGACTGCTCTGAGATAGCTGTTGAGGATGTTTGAGGTGGAAGGGTCACTTTTGTTGTCGAAGATTTTGGTGTTGTTGTAGATGTTGGTGTAGTGATGATCTTGGTGGTTGTGACTGGTTCAGAAGTTGTTGTAGGAGGTGCGCTGGTTGGAGTTGTAATTTTTGTTGTTGTAGGTGGCCTTGGGGTTTGTGGTGTAGGAGTAGCCTTTGTGGCTGTTGATGGTTCAGGAGTTGTAGGTTTCTCTGTCGAGGAAGAAATTACCTTTGTGGTTGAGGACTGCTCTGAGATAGCTGTTGATGATGTTTGAGGTGGAAGGGTCACTTTTGTTGTCGATGATTTTGGTGTTGTTGTAGATGTTGGTGTAGGGAGGATCTTGGTGGTTGTGGCTGGTTCAGAAGTTGCCGTAGGAGGTGCGCTGGTTGGAGTTGTAATTTTTGTTGTTGTAGGTGGCCTTGGGGTTTGTGGTGTAGGAGTAGCCTTTGTGGCTGTTGATGGTTCAGGAGTTGTAGGTTTCTCTGTCGAGGAAGAAATTACCTTTGTGGTTGAGGACTGCTCTGAGATAGCTGTTGATGATGTTTGAGGTGGAAGGGTCACTTTTGTTGTCGATGATTTTGGTGTTGTTGTAGATGTTGGTGTAGGGATGATCTTGGTGGTTGTGGCTGGTTCAGAAGTTGCCGTAGGAGGTGCGCTGGTTGGAGTTGTAATTTTTGTTGTTGTAGGTGGCCTTGGGGTTTGTGGTGTAGGAGTAGCCTTTGTGGCTGTTGATGGTTCAGGAGTTGTAGGTTTCTCTGTCGAGGAAGAAATTACCTTTGTGGTTGAAGACTGCTCTGAGATAGCTGTTGATGATGTTTCAGGTGGAAGGGTCACTTTTGTTGTCGATGATTTTGGTGTTGTTGTAGATGTTGGTGTAGGGATGATCTTGGTGGTTGTGGCTGGTTCAGAAGTTGCTGTAGGAGGTGCGCTGGTTGGAGTTGTAATTCTTGTTGTTGTAGGTGGCCTTGGGGTTTGTGGTGTAGGAGTAGCCTTTGTGGCTGTTGATGGTTCAGGAGTTGTAGGTTTCTCTGTCGAGGAAGAAATTACCTTTGTGGTTGAGGACTGCTCTGAGATAGCTGTTGAGGATGTTTGAGGTGGAAGGGTCACTTTTGTTGTCGAAGATTTTGGTGTTGTTGTAGATGTTGGTGTAGGGATGATCTTGGTGGTTGTGACTGGTTCAGAAGTTGTTGTAGGAGGTGCGCTGGTTGGAGTTGTAATTTTTGTTGTTGTAGGTGGCCTTGGGGTTTGTGGTGTAGGAGTAGCCTTTGTGGCTGTTGATGGTTCAGGAGTTGTAGGTTTCTCTGTCGAGGAAGAAATTACCTTTGTGGTTGAGGACTGCTCTGAGATAGCTGTTGATGATGTTTGAGGTGGAAGGGTCACTTTTGTTGTCGATGATTTTGGTGTTGTTGTAGATGTTGGTGTAGGGAGGATCTTGGTGGTTGTGGCTGGTTCAGAAGTTGCCGTAGGAGGTGCGCTGGTTGGAGTTGTAATTTTTGTTGTTGTAGGTGGCCTTGGGGTTTGTGGTGGAGGAGTAGCCTTTGTGGCTGTTGATGGTTCAGGAGTTGTAGGTTTCTCTGTCGAGGAAGAAATTACCTTTGTGGTTGAGGACTGCTCTGAGATAGCTGTTGATGATGTTTGAGGTGGAAGGGTCACTTTTGTTGTCGATGATTTTGGTGTTGTTGTAGATGTTGGTGTAGGGATGATCTTGGTGGTTGTGGCTGGTTCAGAAGTTGCCGTAGGAGGTGCGCTGGTTGGAGTTGTAATTCTTGTTGTTGTAGGTGGCCTTGGGGTTTGTGGTGTAGGAGTAGCCTTTGTGGCTGTTGATGGTTCAGGAGTTGTAGGTTTCTCTGTCGAGGAAGAAATTACCTTTGTTGTTGAGGACTGCTCTGAGATAGCTGTTGATGATGTTTGAGGTGGAAGGGTCACTTTTGTTGTCGATGATTTTGGTGTTGTTGTAGATGTTGGTGTAGGGATGATCTTGTTGGTTGTGGCTGGTTCAGAAGTTGCCTTAGGAGGTGCGCTGGTTGGAGTTGTAATTTTTGTTGTTGTAGGTGGCCTTGGGGTTTGTGGTGTAGGAGTAGCCTTTGTGGCTGTTGATGGTTCAGGAGCTGTAGGTTTCTCTGTCGAGGAAGAAATTACCTTTGTGGTTGAGGACTGCTCTGAGATAGCTGTTGATGATGTTTGAGGTGGAAGGGTCACTTTTGTTGTCGATGATTTTGGTGTTGTTGTAGATGTTGGTGTAGGGATGATCTTGGTGGTTGTGGCTGGTTCAGAAGTTGCTGTAGGAGGTGCGCTGGTTGGAGTTGTAATTCTTGTTGTTGTAGGTGGCCTTGGGGTTTGTGGTGTAGGAGTAGCCTTTGTGGCTGTTGATGGTTCAGGAGTTGTAGGTTTCTCTGTCGAGGAAGAAATTACCTTTGTGGTTGAGGACTGCTCTGAGATAGCTGTTGATGATGTTTGAGGTGGAAGGGTCACTTTTGTTGTCGATGATTTTGGTGTTGTTGTAGATGTTGGTGTAGGGAGGATCTTGGTGGTTGTGGCTGGTTCAGAAGTTGCCGTAGGAGGTGCGCTGGTTGGAGTTGTAATTTTTGTTGTTGTAGGTGGCCTTGGGCTTTGTGGTGTAGGAGTAGCCTTTGTGGCTGTTGATGGTTCAGGAGTTGTAGGTTTCTCTGTCGAGGAAGAAATTACCTTTGTGGTTGAGGACTGCTCTGAGATAGCTGTTGATGATGTTTGAGGTGGAAGGGTCACTTTTGTTGTCGATGATTTTGGTGTTGTTGTAGATGTTGGTGTAGGGATGATCTTGGTGGTTGTGGCTGGTTCAGAAGTTGCTGTAGGAGGTGCGCTGGTTGGAGTTGTAATTCTTGTTGTTGTAGGTGGCCTTGGGGTTTGTGGTGTAGGAGTAGCCTTTGTGGCTGTTGATGGTTCAGGAGTTGTAGGTTTCTCTGTCGAGGAAGAAATTACCTTTGTGGTTGAGGACTGCTCTGAGATAGCTGTTGATGATGTTTGAGGTGGAAGGGTCACTTTTGTTGTTGATGATTTTGGTGTTGTTGTAGATGTTGGTGTAGGGATGATCTTGGTGGTTGTGGCTGGTTCAGAAGTTGCCGTAGGAGGTGCGCTGGTTGGAGTTGTAATTTTTGTTGTTGTAGGTGGCCTTGGGGTTTGTGGTGTAGGAGTAGCCTTTGTGGCTGTTGATGGTTCAGGAGTTGTAGGGTTCTCTGTCGAGGAAGAAATTACCTTTGTGGTTGAGGACTGCTCTGAGATAGCTGTTGAGGATGTTTGAGGTGGAAGGGTAACTTTTGTTGTCGATGATTTTGGTGTTGTTGTAGATGTTGGTGTAGGGATGATCTTGGTGGTTGTGGCTGGTTCAGAAGTTGTTGTAGGAGGTGCGCTGGTTGGAGTTGTAATTTTTGTTGTTGTAGGTGGCCTTGGGGTTTGTGGTGTAGGAGTAGCCTTTGTGGCTGTTGATGGTTCAGGAGTTGTAGGTTTCTCTGTCGAGGAAGAAATTACCTTTGTGGTTGAGGACTGCTCTGAGATAGCTGTTGATGATGTTTGAGGTGGAAGGGTCACTTTTGTTGTCGATGATTTTGGTGTTGTTGTAGATGTTGGTGTAGGGAGGATCTTGGTGGTTGTGGCTGGTTCAGAAGTTGTTGTAGGAGGTGCGCTGGTTGGAGTTGTAATTTCTGTTGTTGTAGTTGGTCTTGGGGTTTGTGGTGGAGGAGTAGCCTTTGTGGCTGTTGATGGTTCAGGAGTTGTAGGTTTCTCTGTCGAGGAAGAAATTACCTTTGTGGTTGAGGACTGCTCTGAGATAGCTGTTGATGATGTTTGAGGTGGAAGGGTCACTTTTGTTGTTGATGATTTTGGTGTTGTTGTAGATGTTGGTGTAGGGATGATCTTGGTGGTTGTGGCTGGTTCAGAAGTTGTTGTAGGAGGTGCGCTGGTTGGAGTTGTAATTTTTGTTGTTGTAGTTGGCCTTGGGGTTTGTGGTGTAGGAGTAGCCTTTGTGGCTGTTGATGTTTCAGGAGTTGTAGGTTTCTCTGTCGAGGAAGAAATTAACTTTGTGGTTGAGGACTGCTCTGAGATAGCTGTTGATGATGTTTGAGGTGGAAGGGTTACTTTTGTTGTCGATGATTTTGGTGTTGTTATAGATGTTGGTGTAGGGATGATCTTGGTGGTTGTGGCTGGTTCAGAAGTTGTTGTAGGAGGTGCGCTGGTTGGAGTTGTAATTTCTGTTGTTGTAGTTGGCCTTGGGGTTTGTGGTGGAGGAGTAGCCTTTGTGGCTGTTGATGGTTCAGGAGTTGTAGGTTTCTCTGTCGAGGAAGAAATTACCTTTGTGGTTGAGGACTGCTCTGAGATAGCTGTTGATGATGTTTCAGGTGGAAGGGTCACTTTTGTTGTCGATGATTTTGGCGTTGTTGTAGATGTTGGTGTAGGGATGATCTTAGTGGTTGTGTCTAGTTCAGAAGTTGTTGTAGGAGGTGCACTGGTTGGAGTTGTAATTTTTGTTGTTGTAGGTGGCCTTGGGGTTTGTGGTGTAGGAGTAGCCTTTGTGGCTGTTGATGGTTCAGGAGTTGTAGGTTTCTCTGTCGAGGAAGAAATGGACTTTGTGGTTGAGGACTGCTCTGAGATAGCTGTTGATGATGTTTGAGGTGGAAGGGTCACTTTTGTTGTTGATGATTTTGATGTTGTTGTAGATGTTGGTGTAGGGATGATCTTGGTGGTGGAGGATGGTTCGGAAGTTGTTGTAGGAGGTGCACTGGTTGGAGTTGTAATTGTTGTTGTTTCACATGAAACTGGACAGCATACCCTAATTTCGTAGTCAAAGCACTTTCCTGGGCGCAGAGGCTGGTCTTCTTTTTTACAGATTAATCCATATTTTATATCACAACTTACAACCTGTGCATTTTCCTGTACAAATTTGTCAAAATCCATGTCTGGTACAAGTGCTGATCTACAATCAACTTCAGTCGGATTGTCACATATATGTTTACCACCTTTTGTGATATTTTCGTATGTTTCCCAGTCACTTTTGTCTGTCTTTGGATTATGGACATTGTACCAGTCAGACCACTCACAAGTTGAAATACATGGAGTTGTGACTGAAATTGGTTCTGTGGTTGTGGATTGTTTTGACATAGTTGTAGTTGATATTTTAGGGGGAGACGTTGTTTTTGTTGTTGTTGGCGGTTCGGAAGCTGTTACATAGGGGGTGGTGTGTGGAATTGTGGTTTTTATTGTTTCACTTGTCTCTGTGGTTTCTGGTGTAGGTTTAGACTTTGTGGTTGTTGATGGTTCAGGAGTTGTAGGTTTCTCTGTCGAGGAAGAAATTACCTTTGTTGTTGAGGACTGCTCTGAGATAGCTGTTGATGATGTTTGAGGTGGAAGGGTCACTTTTGTTGTTGATGATTTTGGTGTTGTTGTAGATGTTGGTGTAGGGATGATCTTGGTGGTTGTGGCTGGTTCAGAAGTTGTTGTAGGAGGTGCGCTGGTTGGAGTTGTAATTTTTGTTGTTGTAGTTGGCCTTGGGGTTTGTGGTGTAGGAGTAGCCTTTGTGGCTGTTGATGGTTCAGGAGTTGTAGGTTTCTCTGTCGAGGAAGAAATCACCTTTGTGGTTGAGGACTGCTCTGAGATAGCTGTTGATGATGTTTCAGGTGGAAGGGTCACTTTTGTTGTCGATGATTTTGGTGTTGTTATAGATGTTGGTGTAGGGATGATCTTGGTGGTTGTGGCTGGTTCAGAAGTTGTTGTAGGAGGTGCGCTGGTTGGAGTTGTAATTTCTGTTGTTGTAGTTGGCCTTGGGGTTTGTGGTGGAGGAGTAGCCTTTGTGGCTGTTGATGGTTCAGGAGTTGTAGGTTTCTCTGTCGAGGAAGAAATTACCTTTGTGGTTGAGGACTGCTCTGAGATAGCTGTTGATGATGTTTGAGGTGGAAGGGTCACTTTTGTTGTCGATGATTTTGGTGTTGTTGTAGATGTTGGTGTAGTGATGATCTTAGTGGTTGTGTCTAGTTCAGAAGTTGTTGTAGGAGGTGCGCTGGTTGGAGTTGTAATTTTTGTTGTTGTAGTTGGCCTTGGGGTTTGTGGTGTAGGAGTAGCCTTTGTGGCTGTTGATGGTTCAGGAGTTGTAGGTTTCTCTGTCGAGGAAGAAATGGCCTTTGTGGTTGAGGACTGCTCTGAGATAGCTGTTGATGATGTTTGCGGTGTAAGGGTCACTTTTATTGTTGTGGATGATTTCGGTGTTGTTGTAGATGTTGGTGTAGGGATGATCTTGGTGGTGGAGGATGGTTCGGAAGTTGTTGTAGGAGGTGCACTGGTTGGAGTTGTAATTGTTGTTGTTTCACATGAAACTGGACAGCATACCCTAATTTCGTAGTCAAAGCACTTTCCTGGGCGCAGAGGCTGGTCTTCTTTTTTACAGATTAATCCATATTTTATATCACAACTTACAACCTGTGCATTTTCCTGTACAAATTTGTCAAAATCCATGTCTGGTACAAGTGCTGATCTACAATCAATTTCAGTCGGATTGTCACATATATGTTTACCACCTTTTGTGATATTTTCGTATGTTTCCCAGTCACTTTTGTCTGTCTTTGGATTATGGACATTGTACCAGTCAGACCACTCACAAGTTGAAATACATGGAGTTGTGACTGAAATTGGTTCTGTGGTTGTGGATTGTTTTGACATAGTTGTAGTTGATATTTTAGGGGGAGACGTTGTTTTTGTTGTTGTTGGCGGTTCGGAAGCTGTTACATAGGGGGTGGTGTGTGGAATTGTGGTTTTTATTGTTTCACTTGTCTCTGTGGTTTCTGGTGTAGGTTTAGACTTTGTGGTTGTTGATGGTTCAGGAGTTGTAGGTTTCTTTGTCGAGGAAGAAATTACCTTTGTGGTTGAGGACTGCTCTGAGATAGTTGTTGATGGTTTTTCAGGTGTAAGGGTCACTTCTGTTGGTGTAGGTATTGCTGTGGTTGTAATTGATATTTCAGGGGTTGTTGGCAGTGACGAAGGTGCAGTTGTTGTCTTTGTAGTCGTGCTTTGCTCTGGGGTTGTAGGATATGGTGTTTGTTGAGTAGAGGTTGATCCCTCAAAAGTTGTAAGTGAGGGTGTAGATTGAGCTTTGGTGGTTGTTGACGGTTGTGAGGTTATAATAGGGGTTTGAGTAGTAAGAGTTGTAGCGTTTATGGTCACGGGTTGTTCTGGGGATGTTGTGGGAGAGGGTGTAGCTTTTTGCGTTGTTGGTTTAACAGAGGGAGTTTCTGTTGGCACTGTTGCACAGGGTTCATTTATGTGTATCACAGTTGAATTAATGCATATTGCATAGTAGCACATTCCCATGTTGTCTGTCACATTATAAATCACATCATTATCTTCATATATAGTCCCATTGTACAAGCAATAGGCACATTCTTCCACGCATGTTTGAGTCTTCTCATCAAAAATTGGTTTATCTTCTGGGCATACAGGATAACAACCTAGAGAAAACATAACAAAATATAGCATCTTATATAGATGCGCTTTCAACGTAATATTAGTCATTAAATGGTATCCTTACCCTCGAGATTGGGTATTGGATTGTTACAAATTCCTTGTGGGTTTAAACAAGTCTTGTAACAAGGTGTGTGGCAAGGACTGTAATGCCATGTACAATCTTCTGGGTTGTTATAATAATCACAAAAAACAGCTGAAATGAAAAAAAAGAAGTAGGAGAAGTTAGTTACATTCTAGGTAAAAATATATACCTTTGAATTGTTAGAGTAGAGAGGAACTGTAGAATTTATTGTAGGCTTTTTTTAGGACAAAATTTACAACTCTGTCTTTGGTTATGGGGGGTGCTGGAGGGTGGTCTCTGAGTGTTTTTGCCTTTAGGCCTAGCAGAGGGGGCTTTTTAGCACCCCCTGGCTGTGGTTCTAAACAGGAATCTATCATTTTACCGGGAAAATTGAGCACACAGTTCAAACCACTACAACTAACAACCACCAGTGATGGCCGAAATCTTGGTGTCATTATTATACCTGAACCTTAAGAGGCATATAAAGGCAGTCAGCCCTTTATCAGCTGAAGAACATCTCCAGAATTAAAGGACTAATGTCCAAGCAGGATCTAAAAACGTCAGTGACGCCTTTATCTTTACTGCAACAGTGTAAAGTCTACCAGATAGCAGTAGCTGATCCAAAACGTTGCTTCCCGTGTTCTCACAAGAACTAAGAGCTTATCAGCACAGTTGTGAAGTTCTTAAACAGGATTTCAGTAGCCCAGAGAATAGACCTGAAAATCATTCTCTTAGTTTAAAAATTGATCAGCACTTAAAAACATAACAGATATGTTAACAGGTTTGGCTGCCCTTCCACGCTGCAAGCAGGCCAAAAGCCATGGCCACCACCACACCGCCACTGCTCCCAAGGTCTATTTGCCCACCTCTGAGCTCAAACCTTTCACCAAAGCTCAAAGAACTGCGGTAGCTGAGAATTACTTCATAGATAAGAAACCTTTATTCTATGGAAGAAAAACATTGGATTCTGCCTTTTTTTTTGTACACCAAATTTTAAACACAGATTTTTTTTTTTATCGTATTTTAAACTCTGATTTTATTAGCAACATAACCTAACAAATTTTAAAATTTTAAATAATTTTTACAAATGAAGTTCCTTACTCTGAATTTTTATCTGAAGAACAATCAGCTGCGAAATATTCAGCTGCAGGGTGGGCCCAACCGATTCTGATCACTTACTGATCGATATGCCCAACTCCACTACTTCCTGAACTTAAGCCAGCTTCTTATTGTCTTTTATTACTTGACAGACTGAATAATCCAGGTGTGTCCAGCCATTCTTGCCATGGTAACTGAGGTCACAAACACCTGGATTATCAGTTTGACCAGTAATATAAGAAAGAAAGCAAAGGAGCCAGCTGAAGTTCAGGAAGTAGCGGAGTTTGGCATATAGCCTATTGTAGTTTGCAAGTAGTTTAGAAGTGCTTATTTTAGATTGCTTGTATACCTGTCTTAAAATGTACAGTATACTGGAGCTTGGTTAGTGGAAGGGCTTGCAAAGGGCTTTGAGAATCTTGTTTTATTTTTCCCCTAAAAACTTGACACGGTTGTTGCGAAATTAAGGACTAAATCTAAACTAATTAGCAAAGATCTCTACAAAGTTTCCCTCAAGTAAGAAATGACAAACCAGCAATTGTTTTTGAAAAAGTATATTTATATTGTGTGACAGTGGCTGCTTAAAAAAACAAAATCCTTGAAAAATTATTTTATAGTTTACTCACGACAGATGTCTGGGGTTCTCCATGCAACACAAACGCCAGCCTCGTTACAAGCCTGAGCGTAGGCTGCTACAGCTGAGCAGAAACACTCACAGTCTCCTCCTGTGTCGCAGGCACATGAGTCTTTCACACAGTTTTCATAAAATGGGCGGGGATCAGTCTATTTGTTCACAAAAGAGGAAACATTCATTAAAACGTTTTTTGGATATCTGAGTTGAAGAAACACCTCCAAGTGTTGCAGACCTTGTTATGGCAGTCTTTGAATGTATTGCCTGTTATGATGCTACACATCATTTTTGCCCAGTGATGTCTCATGGGTGCAGCTGCACAGGAATCCACATTCTCTTCCACATCTGGGCAAGTGCTTGACACTTTCCAACTGTTTGCAAACTCTAGTGAGTTGCTGACCATCATCTGACCCTGAATGGTGTAGTCATTCAATCCATTTCCATCAAAATTTCCACACAGGCCACAGACTTCACCCTGTAAAACAGTCACAAGGCTAGTCACCCTCACAAACTACATTTTCTGAGAGATGGGTTTGTTAAACTGGAAAAACAGTCTAGAAATAAGTAAAAAAAAATCTTAAATTAAGTGTACAGTATTTATGCAGTTGACACGAGACAATCCAATAGTTTTTTCTCTTTTAAGTATAAATTGTCTTGTTCCATTCACAACATGTCTCTTTTACCTCCTCAATCCAAGAACAAATGCACTTATTTTAAGAAAAAGTGACTTTTCTACATTTCAATTTTTTCCAGTGTACCTATTTGTAAAAGATTTCTGTCATCATTAATAAACGTTGAATGTTATTTACACTGTGCTGAGGCTCCAGAAGAATGCGAACAGTTGTTTTGCGATCCCACAACAATGCCAAGCCGATGTCAGATTCTACCACAAGGTACAGGCCGACCCTCCTTATTCTGTGATGAATCAGAGGACCCTGTCCCAGATCTTCTTCTTCGTATTTCCCCTTTGTTAGTTTGATTTCTGTGCGCTATAAAAGAAGAAATTTTTATATCATTATCTATACAAACTAAACAGCTTAAAAAGATAATTCAGATGATTTAGGCTAAGAGGGTTATTATATATTTTTGTCTTACCCCAAGTTGAATTCTGACAGTTTTAGAGCAGGTAGTGCCTGTAGAACCACACGGCATGTTTTCTGTGATAATCCCAAAGTTGTTCTCCGCTGTTTTATTCCCACATTTATTCTTAGAAAAGAAAATTTTGTTAAGTGTTTGTTTTTAAGCACATTAAAAAGAAATGCATCTTACTGAGAATACAAACTTTCAAAGCTCAACTATACTGTCAACATATCACCTGTAAAACAAAATCATACATTTTGTGCATGCCTTATTACTGATTATCTGTCATTTTAAAAACAAGTTTTGATGCCTCAGTTTTAAATGTTTTATCTCATATCTGGTGGGTGAAATCTATAACATTTTTTAACTTTCTTTTTTGGGTCTCGATAAAAACAAGTCTTTTTCGTGGCACAAATCAGGTCACATCGATGAGGTATGTGTGGCTCCCTTGTTAGGTTTATGTGTATTGGGAGTTTAATTCATAGCCCACTTTAAAATCAGGAGAGGCACAACAAACATTTTGTTTTATTTTTCCCCTAACTTGCTGATCACCTCAACATCAAGTCATAGAAATTCACTGCTTCCAAGTGACCAAATGATAATAGGCAGAATTAATTAGAAAGTAAGTCAAACTGCTTCTTGTTGGAGGAAGGCCAAATATTTAGCAGGCTGAGCTCAGTGATGACTGAATCTTAGTTATTACTGCTATCGCTGTAATATTTCAGTAGCACCTGCATTTGCTTTGACTTAATGCATGCACTGTGGAATTCCACAGGGCAGTTGCCTTGGGCCACTTTTATATGCCATCTTCACAAATGATCTCACAATTTATGCAGATGACACAACTGTCTATGCATCTGCAAAATCAATATCTGAATTAACTTCCATTTTAAATAAGGACTTAAAAATTGTAGAGCAATGGGTTTTAGATAATAAATTAGTTTTGGACATCTCAAAGACAAAAACTTTAGTACTTGGTTCAAACAAGTCTCCTAAACATGACCCAAAGTTAAATTTGTTAATAAATAATACACTCATGGAGCAAGTAACAGAAGCTAAGCTTCTTGGTGTCTATTTGGATAATAAACTGTCTTGGTCAAATCACACTGAAGCTGTTGTAAAGAACATGGGCAGAGCTTTAGCTATATTGAGAAGATGTAGCAAGTTTTTGCCAGTTGATTTGACTATTGCTTATAGTAACACATTAATAATTTCTTAACTTGACTACTGTCAAACAATATGGTCAAATGCAAAAAGAAAAGAGTTAGAGAAACTTCAAATAATGCAGAATAAAGCTGCCAGTGTAGTGTACATAAATCTGCTTTTAAAATGCAACTTAAGAAGTTTTTAGGGGCAACTTATTTCTAAATGAAATAGTTTCATATTCTCATTTATTGTAACTTATTCATATAATGTTAGAATTTTAAATTGTAACTTTCCCCTTTTCTATGAAGTTCAGTCTTATTGATATGTATATGATATTTGTCATCTGTCAAACATGTTCATGAATTTACATTGTATACTGTATTTTAATGATGTGGACCCCAGGAAGAGTAGCTGGGTGTAAAGCACAGCTAATGGGGATCCTAATAATAAATAAACAAATAAACAAATGCAAATCTTACTGACTTGCTAGAGTTTTAAAATTATGAGTTGCTAAAATTATTAGATTTGTCCTAGCTCATCTTGAGACCAGATTTCATGTAAGCTATAGTATTAGATCTATAGAAAAAGGAAAGTTGAAGCATTATGAGCCTGAATTAGCAAATCCTTCTTTACAACTGAAATACAAGGGAGATACATAAAAGTGAGTTGTGGTATTGATGTTTTCCTCATTTCTGTGCATCTACAATAACTAGATCTAGACTGAAATGTGACTTTGATTGAATCCAATCCATAGTCTGAAATTTATTTTGTGTTTACAAATGTCAAGTAACTCTGTTTATTACTTACTCTGCTGTAGACTCTACAATGCCTATTTTTTGATCAAAGGAATAGTGAACAGAGGAATAATCTCAGACGCATTTATTTTGGATCATTTTGATGTTCGTTTGATTTACCTTAACAGCAACATATGCACATTCTCCCTGAAATCCATAGGTCCACTGATCAAATGTGCTGTAGTGCCCACTTCCATAAATAACGCAGGTTCCTGGACATTTTTTCTCAGTACACTCCCATCTCCCACTTTTACATGTGCTAGATTTCAGGAATATTATGAAAAATGCCTTGAATTAATTTGTATAAATGACAGGTACAATTATAAAAACTGATTGAAAAGATACGCTTTACAAATTCTGCGTTGCTTTTCAAACACTGGCTTACCAGGTGTTGCACTGGTTTGGAATTTTTGCTCCTGCACCATAAATACGTCCATCATGCTGACATGTACATTCAGTTTCTTTAACACAGGAGCCTTTGCCGTCCTCCAGGAGACCATCTGGACACCGACAGCCAGACTCACACTCTGTAGAGTCCTGGAAGGTGAAAATGATTTAGAAAATATTCTCCCTTATTTCATACACTGGAAAAACGATCTAGAAAAAAGTGAAAATTTCTTAAATTAAGGGTATTTTCCCTTAATTTGAGTCGGTAAATGAGATGATTTGCCAATGTAATGAGTATTTCTACTCTTGAAATAAGATAATTAGATAAAATGCAATTGAAGTAAGACAAAGCTATTGTGTTTTCTTATTTTAAATGTAAATTGTCTTGTTCCATTGACAAAATGTCTCTATTACCGTCTAAATTCAAGAACAAATATACTTATTTTAAGAAAAAAATGACTTTTCAAGTGTATTTATGTATTATGCTGTGGAACACGCCTGGTGTTTACATGGCAATTAATAATTCACAGAATAACACTGAACAAGGCTTTTGGAGGTTTGGTGATATTTGCAATAATTACTCACACATTCATCACTGTCCAGATTTAAACAGGTTTTAGCACACTGCAGTCCAAGGTCTCCTGCAGATGCAGAGGAACAGTCGAAGAAGACTTTTGGAAATGGACATACTATAAACGGAAAAAAAAGGGTTTCTATACACTAGATCAAACAAATGAGGAAGCTATTGAAGGAAGAGGACAGTAGAAAACAAACTGACATGATGAGCGGCTTCTCCAAGAATGACAATGAAGCATTCCATTGTTGCAAACACTTTGCAAAGAAAGGAAAAATAATGTAAGATACAAAAGTGATATTATGCGAATAGAAATGAAATGTACATCAAGTTTTCATTTTCTCACCAGTGATCATCTCTGATGTTGATGGATTTTCCTGGCTTAACGTAAACGCCGTTATGGTAGCAGGAACATTTTTCCATTGGGACGCAAATACCGTTTTCATCCATGAAGAGCCCCTCAGCACAGGCGCAGCCATCGACAGGCAAGAAGTCGGAGGTGCAGCTCTGCTGATCTGAGCTCAAAGATCTGCATGTCAGCTGGCACCTCTTGTTTGTGTAAGAGAAGGTCTGAGAAGCTGGGCAGCTTTTTGTGTACGTATCTGTTTGTTGGATTATGAGAAGATCATTGCTCAATAGTGTTACAGCTTACAAATAAAGGGGGGTAAATATTATCGAAAGGTTTATCTGAAATAATTATCATTTTTCTGGTTTACAAAATAAAGATTGATATTCTTACCACAAACACTCTCTTTCCAGTTTGTTACAAAGACTCCCTTTTCTGCACAAGCTCGGGCGTAAGAGGAGAAGACCGCACACAAACAGGCCTCACTTTTCTCGCAACTACAGGTGGAATAGATGCATCGCTGCAGAAGACAGAAAAATATGTTTAAAAAAAAGTACTGTTCTATTAAATATAACCAGCAGTAGGTATTGAAATCGGAAATATGGTTCATGCTCCAGTTTTTACATTGTTTTTTAATCAAAAATGCTTGTAAACTCAAATAAAAACACGATAAGAATACATTGGACTCAAATTACAGTTTTATATACCTTTATTTTATTTGTTAAATTGAAAAACAAACAAATAGAGGCTAGAGAAGACTGCGATAGGCTTGGCTGCCGTTCAGGCACTAAACATGATGAGAGTTAGAAATGGGACTATTTTTGTACCTTATAAAACATTTCAGGATCCACCATCGATCGGCACGGAGCGAATGTACTGTTTGGGCTCAGGAATAAGGAGCACCAGTGCTTAGCATAGAACTCTGAGAAAAAAAATTGTTATATAAGACATGTACCAGAAAGGAACTAAGAACAGCACGTTTTTCTACACACAGCAGCAACTAAAAGAAAAGCAGAAAACTTATTTACCATTTTCCAAACTGAGGGAACACGGGTCATCAAGTCTCTCCTGTCTGTCTGAGCACATAAGGTTTGCCTTCCAGGAGTTACTGAAGGTTGCTGCCGTTCCCTCCACGATCCCCTGAGGGGTCTTCATTTCATCACTTAAAATCATGTTGAAGTTCCCACACAAACCTGAGGACAAAGATTAAATTATCTTTAAAGAAATGAAACGGTTTTTTCATTGAATTGTGTGTGGCTTTTTGTTTTGTTTTTGTTCATCTTTGGGAAAATATAAACTTGACACAATCAAAAATATAATTATGTTTTATTGGAAGTAAATCCTTGTTAACACTATGTAAATTAAATACACTGCAAAAAATGGAAATCTAAATAAGTCATTTTTTTTTTCTTAAAACGTGTGTGTGTTCTTTGATTAAGGAGGTAAGTGAGACACTTTGCCAGTGGAACAAGACAATTTACATTTGAAATAAGAAAAAACAATTGCATTGTCTTATTTATAGTGCATCTTATCTAAATATCTTATTTTAAGAGTAAAAATACTCATTCCATTGACAAATCATGGCATTTATCTACTCAAATTAGGTAATGAATAATCTTAATTTAATACATTTTTTCAGTTATTTCTAGATCTTTTTTGCAGTGTAAGAGACCAATTCACTTTATGTTTTTATCCAAAATCTCATCATCACAGCTGGATAAGACAAAGAGCTTTTAGAAAACCCTACACAACCTCCTCAGGAGTGTCTAAAGTTATTCCTACATCCTGGGGTCCATTTAATGAAGCATTTTTTAACAAACCGAGATTCAAATCCGCTACTCTAAATTGATCTAGAATAAAGTCGGGAACTCTGAGTTTTCGGTTTCACAACAGCTGCCATTAATTAGTTCAATCAACTCTTAGTAGGTCCACTCAGAGTTGAGCGCATGCGTGACAAGTTTAAAAAGCTATAATCAGTGGAGCACGAGTCACCATGACAACTGGCACCAGGAAGTGCTTATTTCACCCCAATGGAACTCGAGATATTTTGTGTTTGTGTGTTTAATAGACAGAGAAACAGCTGCAAAGGAGAGGAAGATGGAGAAGGAGAAGATTGCTGTTCGAGCTAATGCGTATGTATGGCAGGCCATGTTTACATTTATTAAAAGCATTCTCCTCTCTCTTGATACATTTGTGCATCACTAAAACAAGGGATAAAATCACATACCTAAACTGAACTGTAATAATATATTTTCTAAGTTTACATTTTTGGAGCAGAATCTCACAATTTCACAAAATAAAAAAACAAAACAAAATTATACTAGTAAGAATTAATTTTATATATCTAGAAATGTTTACACATTTTAAGTGGCCATTGTGACATTTATCAGCTTGACTGAATATGTATTTATGATGTGAAATACATTTCTTCATAGTGAAAATCATACAAATGCTGATCACTAACAATAGGAATATGGAGATCTGAAATTATTGTCTAGACATCCACAATATTTATTCTAGATGTGACAAATGTCATTTTGTTGAAATAGTCATTTTGACAAGGACTTTTTTTTTTCCAGATATCAGGAATACATATTTAGTAAAACTTATACTTTTTAAAGCGACTTGCCATAGCCTGTTGTGACAATGATAACATTACGGGTTTATTTATTGAATGGTAGTGGATCAATGTGTCTGTTTAGGAGAAATAATCTGGCAGCAGATGAAGATGAAGAATAAAAGCATTGTTCTAATAGATGGAACCTGTTCACCATCTCATGGGTTCCTCCTCAGTTTGATTCTGTCTTCCATCAGACGGTAAATACTAAATGTCTGTTTGCAGCCGCTTCGTATGTTATCATCCCAATAAATCGTTGTTATTAGCGGCTATCAGTCCCATAAAATGGCTTCAGATTGTTCCAGTAGGTTGTTATCACTGAGTGAATCATAACTGTAAGGTAATTCCTTTTCCCCATGGAATTAATTAGTCTATTTATCTGTTATCTGAACATATTTGCAGTAGCTCTTAATGTACTCTAAAACTAACTATATATATATATTTAAAAAAAATTATCCGCCTGTTGCTCAAAATAACTAAACCAAAAACAAATAAATCTGAAATCCTGTCAACTCCTAATAATTTTGAATCCTCTGTGAATTAATGCTGATCATTCTTTAATAAGATCCTTATCAAACGGACATGCAATGTTTGTTTTTAAAAGCCAATGTGGATCAAGTGAATAGTTTTTTTCTTTTTATGCACAAAACTACAACAAAAACCTTACTGAATCAGGAAATAAAACAACGTGATTTGCTGTAAGGAGGGCAGAGACAGAGGACACTCACACTGGGAGGATGTTACTATGGCAACAGAAACAGAGGTTAAGGAAACTCTCTTTGGGAAATGGAAAAGTCAGAGTTTCCCCAATTTCAGATCTAGAAAACTTTGAGTTTTCAGTAAAAAAGTTACATACATGTTTTTGTAATCTCTTTGTCATCAGCTTCAGCCTTAATACGGCTGGTGACTGAACATGACTGAACATACAATCTGTGTTTCACACCAACGATATATCAAACCTACCTACAGAGAAAAATCAGAAAAGATATTAAAACTTACCACGCGTCTTTGATCTATAGCTTTGCTCCAGGCTAATGTAGACTTGCATGAGAGGGACATGCTGGATCTGAATCTGCAACCCAAATCTTGTCTGTAGCAAGATGTGAAAGGAGGAGGCCTGGAAAATGCTGATGTCTCCTAAAATAAACAGGTGGATATAAAATCACACCTTAAAGCAGGAGCTTGAAGAATAATATTTGATTCAGAATGATCCTCTGACCCACCTGAGTTGTACGGTAAAGTGACAGTCTGCTGGTTCTGCATAACTGTGCCATCAGAGTTGAATGTTAGGACCTAATAGAATAAACAAGGAGTCAAAAAAGTTGCAGGCTCCAATTTTAATCTTTTAAAAACAGATACTTTTGTTTTTTTTACTTACGTTGTTTTTGTCATTGTTTAGCAGGATTTTCAGGGCCTTCAGGCATGTGTCAAACTGTTGGTGAGTGCAGGGAACCAACTGGGCCAGGAGTGTAAACTTAGGGCTCACTTCATCCTGAAAAGGATTTTAGGATTTATTTTTTACAATTGAAAAAAGTCTGAAGAAACTGTCATCATACTGCACTAGTGGGGTTGCAAACTGAATAAAAAAAGGGACACCTCATGTGCGTCCCAGCTGACCCGATTGCCTTTACCCCTCCTGTGGTGATTTCTTTTTCAGCCCCCCTTTGAGTGTGAAATAATTTTTTAAACTATTTGACTGAAATCTGCATTGAATTAGTTGCATCTTTGTGAGAGACATGAACACATGGAAAACTAATTATTATCCAGCAATTCACTTTAATGCAAAATAACAAACTTTGCTGAATGTGAATATGCATGAATATAAAACTCAAATAAATAGTGCTCATTTTAGGTGCAACAGCAAACTTGTGCAGATTTGTTAACATATTTGTGCCTTAATTGCAATGACTGTAGGCTACAGTTGTAAAACAGAAAAAAATCATTAGCTCAATGCAACATAATGTGGTTTGCAGCAGTGAGGAGTTGTTTGTCTTTCAGTGCTGCAGAGTAAAACTCTGAGCAGGACAGTTCATGATTGAGGCTGACAATGAGCTCAGCTTTAATCAATTAAGTGGAAAAAAAAATTCTGCTCTTCAGTCCATTTGTTCTTCATTCAGGAGAAAATCCTTTCCACAAAACCAGTGGATGATGGGATGCTGAGGACACAGCAGCTTGGATGTTGGGAAGTTCAGCTGCCTGAAGAACTTTCATCCACCTCTCTGCTGTTCCTTTGGACTGCCAGGATTCCTTTTCCTTTAAATTCCTCCTTTCGTCCCCCATCCTACTCTGTTGTCTCCTGCTATCTTCTCTGTGAGCAAAACTTGGCTCGACCAATGGGATGAGGGGATTTTGGACCGTTACATATATGCTGTCAGCTTATTGGTCACAATGCAGGACAGGGAGGGGAACAAGTTTACTGTAGGTTTTGTATCTAACGTGCCCTTGTTCTTCATTTTCCATTACTCTCACACTAAACGGGACAACGTGTGTTCCTTTTCCACTAAATACGGGACAGGTGCTTCTATTTCTAAATACGGAACGATTCCGTTTTTTAAGGGACGGCTGGAAACCCGATGCACTACACACATCATGTTTACACCTACCACAAAAATTTCATATAGATATTTTACCTTGCCTTCCACCTTTGCCAGAGTGTAGAAACAGTCTCCATGAAAAATGTAGGTTTTCCCATCAAAAGTTGTAAAATGAGAACCTCCTTCAACTGCACAGGTGGCAGGTTTTTCAACACTGATACAATTCCACAGGCCCTCAAAGCATGTGCTTTAATAAAAAAGCAAGAACAACATAGATTTAGATAGTCTAATTGACACATTTGGCATAGATATATATACACCAGACATAAGGTACCATTCCTCTCGATCTTGTTGGTAAATCTCTCCAGGGTTGTAGATCTTGTCATGCTTGCACTGACATTCAGCCTGAGGAACACAGCCTCTCTCAGAAATATCATCAAACACAGTTCCTGAGGAAAAACCATTTTAGCTGAGGTCAAATTTATATAAAGAAATACAGTTTGCTTTTATTTGGTAGTGGGATGTAAACTAACCAGAAGGACAGAAGCAGCCGTCCATTTTGTGGTCTTCACAGAATGAACTAACATCTTGATGTGTGCAGGTATCCATGCAGGGGGAACCACTTTCTTCATATACCATGTTGTAAGGACACTGTTTCTCTGCAGGATGAATCATGCCAGTTAAAAGCATTTCAGCAGACTTGTCATTTAGGAATTTTTGGAAAGATGTTAACGGAAGGTATTTAAAGTTTTTGTGTAATTTTTTTGTCTGATTATTTTTTATTTAAATATTTTCAAAATATTTTTTTTAAATATGATTTAGAAACAATGACTGAACCAACAGTTTTGTGACAGATTTAACAAATGGGTGATGTTATGTCATGCAAAGACAAAACTTTAAAACACAAACAATTTGAACAGCTAGTCATTTTAAACGAAACAATAAATGTAAAACTAGAAAGCCTTGCCAAAGTAATCATACCCTATAAAAAGCATACTAGAATGTTTTACCACTAACATGATCTGAATTTGTAATGACCCTTCCGAGTCACTGCTATGTGTATTAACCAACCTTTATAAATGTGTGAAAACTTCCAAACCTGTATTAAGATCTATAAATGTGTAGATCGGTCTATAAACACACAGAGTCACTTGTGTTTATAGACCGATCTACACATTTCTAGGTCTTAGTACATATTTACAGATATGAATACAGATTTGTGGATTTTTAACTCTTTTGCAAAATCAATTGCACACAAGTTAATTTATGCATTTGCAGATACTCCTACAGTCAGATAAATCTCCTCACACATTTTCAAATCCCACTGCACACACACAAATCTAGATACAGACACACAACTCTTGATTTCTAATCGACTCGAATCGATTATCTCTCCACTGTCGCTACAAGCATGCTTAGTGTGAGGGATTGCTGAAGAGTCAATGAGTCGATGCAATCAGCTGGTTTTCCTTAGATAGAAAACTTTGAATCAATCTGACTGGATGATCTGGTGAACTGGAAAGTGACCTGAGATGTCATGATGTGAATTGGAGCTATAGAAATAAACCGAATAGAATTTAATCGAAATTATTATTATTAATAGAATTTAGCCACAAAACAGTGTGGGACAGTCGTTCAAAGTATACAACAAATTGTTTACCACAGAACTGAGGTGTCCTCCAGTTGGGGGGCTGTCCTCCTGCATGGGAACACTGGCGAGAAAACTCCGACAGTGTGCTGCAGATGCAGTCGTCATTGGTACTGTTACTACAGCCACACATGTCCTTCACACATGCCTGGATGTAAACTTCGGGGTTAATGAGTTTAGCGCATGAGCTCCATGAGTCTGACAGAAACATTTGTTCACAGATTGTTTGCTGTAAAGGACAAACAGATGAACAGTCTGGAGGTTAGCACACGATTGTGTATTTTTAACAGCACATTAACTGGATAATAAACTCACAACTTCTTTGCAGGAATCTGGCAGAGCCACAGCCTCCAGCAGCTCATCCTCCTCTTCATAGGGGTCGTCACAGTCATAGTTGGGGAGGTGGGCTTTGTGTTTATTGCCAAATTCGATGGGGCTGATTTTTCGGCCTGTGTGTGACATGATCAGAGCTTCACAACCCAGATTCTAAAAGAATCCTTCTAAATAACCTTAAACTTACCGCTATGGATGAACTCGTTGTAAACTGGAACACCATTGAAATCTCCACAAAGACCGCAAGTTTTGTTTGCAAAGTCGCCATCAATTTCCACCTAAAATAGATCAAATAAAGTTCTTAAAACTAAATTTAACAGAATCCACAGTGCATCAGGCGACTATTTGAGTTAATTTCACCTTTTGCTTTGATCAACTTCATTAATAAGTTTTTTGATTTTTGAATTTTAGTTTTGTACAAGTAGTCACTACAATAATAAAGATATTTATATGCATAAATCAAGCCGAATACTATGATGATAGCCATAGTGTTCGGCTTGATCTGTTGGGCTCTTTTTGGCATCAAGAAAATTATTCTTTTTACCACATTGCCAGACAGGACACTGTAAAAAAATAAAAAAAAAGTGAAAAAGAAAATCTAAACTAAGTTCATACACTGCAAAAATGATATAGAAATAAGTAAGAATTTCTTAAATTAAGTGCATTTATCCTTACTTTAAGTAGGTAAATTAGAAAGTTTGCCAATGGAATGAGTATTTTTACTCTTAAAATAAGACAATTAGATAATATGCACTTGAAATAAGACAATGCAATTGTGTTTTCTTATTTTAAATCTAAATTGTCTTGTTCCATTGGCAAAATGTCTCTTTAACCTTCTCAATTCAAGAACAAATGCACTTATTTAAAGAAAAAATGACTTATCTAGACTTCGATTTTTTTCCAGTGTAGAGGCCTAACATAATGTTCTCTTTTTTAAGAAACCATAAATGTGCCTTCATGTTAAAGACTATCCAGTTTATAGTCACCAAAGCTTTTTAACATCTATCAGAAAGCAGTTAACTTCAGCTTAAATCATAAATATGTTCCAAAAGTTTGCAGGTTTTTACCATCACTGCATCATCTCCGTTCCACATGACAGTGATCCCCACTTTGGCCTGAAGTTTGATGTAAGCAGCGTTATTTTCCACTTGAACCCCTCCCTTGTAATAAGGTAGATGAACTCTGGCAAAAGAAAAAAACAAATAATACATTTTCATTACATGAAAAAGTGCTGTTCATCTCTCAACTTTAGACTTTTTACTTACTGCTCATTATTGACAGATATCCAGCTCTTACTGAGGTGGAACAAGACTTCATTGATGGTGATCGCCAAGTAACTAATTGTAGGGTTCCCATCGTTTTCTGTCCTCTTTATGTGCACCGCAAACTCCTGATAGGACTGGTAGCAGTCAGAGACCAGGTTGTACTCACACATGCCAGGAAACTGGTAAACATCACCATCAAAAGTCTTGAAGTGCTCTCTGCCCCATGTGCTGCAGATGCTGCTGACATGGTTGCGAACTAAAAAAAGGATTTATGTAGAGATTTTAGGAAAGTCTCTGTACAGCAGATGATAGAAACAAATAAATCAAACAGTGAATACCTAACTGTAAAGAAAACCATATTTATTAATCTCATTTTTTGTCTTACCTAGTCTGGCTTGGATGTCGGGGAAACTGATGACTGCTAAGGTTAGGAAACTCCACAACCCAAATCTCCACCGCATGATTGCCGCTGTAGGCCGACAGTGTCCAGCACTAGAAATGTTCCCTCAGTGTCAGGCTGCCATATATATGGAGATTGCACATTTCTTTGCTCACACCCTCCAACCAAATTGGACATAAGATTTTATTGCAATTGACATGGCAAACATTTGCTGTAGAATTGTCTGACGCTTTGCAATAGCAATATAAGTCCATTATAAATCATTCTAACATCCTCCTCATGTCTTTTAATTGACCCTCAGCTGTTAGTCTAAGAACAAGCAAGGAGTCTGATTAAACTTAGCAGTTTTTCATTTCTTTACCTCTACCATGGAGGTTATATTTTGAGGAGTTTGTGTGTGTTTGTTTTTTTTTTGTCTGTGCGCAGGATGAATTGAAAAGGTTATGAATGGATTTTAACAAACGTTTTATCAGCTGTTTGCCGCATGTCAAGGAATAGTTCATTAAAATGTCATAATGATCCAGATCATGCGTGAGTTTGAGCTATATATTTAAATCACAAGATGTGGGACAATTTGCTGCATGGTGGAGGTCTGCGCCTCGTAGTCATTTTCTAGTTTATTCATGAAAGCAGAATGGTGACAAAAAAAGATTGTTTCAAATTGAAATAATAAAGAAAAGAAATACAGTACAAGTGATTTATAAAAATCCGAAATAGGGATTCATTGGATGATAGGTGTTACAACAGTTTAATGTAATTGATCAAATATGAGCCAGATCTTATTATTAAAATAAAATGATGTTTGATGTTAGATCTTGGCCTGTTTTCCAGTGTAGTCCTGTTTCTCTTACTATGACTAACTGAAGGAAGCTGATTGACACTATTCTAGCAGATTGTTGCTATCTGCAGTGGCTTATCTGTTGCTGACAGGAAGCGGCTGGATCAGCTGATCAAAAAGTCCAGCTCTGTGATTGGATGCCCTCTGGACTCAGTGCAGGAGGTGGGAAACAGACGGATCCTAACTAAATGAACATCTCTGTTGGAGATGCATGAAGCTGGTGCTGAACTGGAGAGCTCCTTCAGTGACAGGCTGCTGCACCCTAAATGCACCAGGGGGTGTTATCACAGATCCTTCCTCCCAGCAGCTGGAAGACTCTAGAACAGGGGTCACCACGCGGTGCCTGTGGGCACCAAGGTGCCCTCAAGGACCACATGGGGGGCCCTCAGAGTCTTCTAAATAAAGAACAACCCACCAGTGGGCTAAGTTTGAAATTTTATTTTATTCTGTTGCTCTTCTTTTTAATCATTTATAGAGATTTCAAAATGACAATGTCTAAATAAACTTAGAAATTAACAGAAACAATAAAAATATGTTGATAATGAACAAAGTTTAGGCTAACGCTAACCCCTGCAGCTCATGGGTCAGTAATGGTCGCCCTCCCTACGTCTCGGTACCCTTGAAGTTGCCCTCAGCCTTAAAAAGGTTGGTGACCCCTGATCTAGAACCACCACTGTTCCCAACAACCTCAGTCAGTTCTTCCATTCATGCTGATTTTGCACAGTTTCTACCTTAGTCAGTTAAATAACCTGCTGCTGTCATTCTGCACATCTCTGATGTTGCTGCTATTTTCAAATATGCTTTACTGTAAAAATGTCCATAGCTGCATATTGGTTATTAATTCTCCAGATGCACAGTTTATATTGTTAAAACACTTTACAGTACAGGGTTTTATTGTTTATTTTTTAACTCTTCACTGTTATGTTATTCTTATACATTTTTCTAAGGTCCAAATTTGTGTTACCATTTTTCTCTAACCGTTTTGCTGCTGGAAACACCAGAATTTCCTCATTGTGGGACAATAAATGTATTTTCTGTTCTATTCTATTCTATTCTACTATTTTCCAGACAATTTATATGAATCAATAATCATTAATCCATTATCAATGTCAGATCTTAGGCTTCTTGTACTGACAAGTTCATTAAGTGCAACATTTTGTTATCTTATTTGCTTCTATCTGTGTTCAAAAGAAAAAACTACTAACTATTTGGAGTGAAAAAGGAGCAAAGGAACATAAACTTTCTGTACTTCCTCTCTTAACCTTTGATTATTATTCACCAGGCAGAAAAAAGGCCGTGTAAGATGGTTGCCAAATGAAAGTTATTAAATTTAGATCTGCACTTCCCAAATGTTTAGAATCTGTTCTATTGTATTCTATATTTAATTATGTAGCCATTTTTCCAGTGGTAGGTTATTGAGTCACATGACTTGGACTTGAGTTATTGATTTTATAACTTTAGACTTGATGTGATGAATTCTCAGTGACTTCAGACTTGATTTGAACTTTTGAAACAGTGACTCTGGACTTGAATTAGACTTGGACCTTTTTACTCAACAAAAACTCGACAAAACTCTACAAAAATAAGCATTATTTTAAAAGTGTGCACCAGTAAAACAACAAACGACAGACTATATTTCTGTCTCTCCACACTATGGTTCTATATGTTCATGAGCCTCAGCACAGCCATTTAAATTAACAGGATTTTTCTAAATAAATACAAACGCTGCTCCAAAGAGTAGTTTCTTTTGAGTGCATAAACTTCAGAGTAATCACCAAAATTAAATGTAATATCAAAAACATGCAAGAAGAGAGTCAAAGATGGAGACCAAACAACTATTGCTCTCAGGAAGAACAATCTACGACCAGAGCTGCTGCGGACCTTCTATCGCTGCACGGTGGAGTCGGTGCTGAGCTGCGGCATCTCGCTGTGGTTCTCCAGCTGCACTGCAGCAGAGAAGAAGCAGCTCCAACCGGTCATCAACACCGCCCAAAGACTGACTGGCTGCCCTCTCCCCTCCCTGGAGGAGATTTACTCCACCCGCTGCCTCAGGAGAGCCAGCAGCATCATCAGGGACTCCTCACACCCCGGTCACCATCTTTTTGAACTGCTCCCATCTGGGTGACGTTTCAGGGCAATAAGGACAAAAACAACCAGACTGAGAAACAGCTTCTTTCCTAGAGCTGTTGTTGCCTTGAACGCCTCACGTACAATGTAACAACTGTAACTATCAATAATTCTACCTCACGTGCAATAACCTGTACCCGCTACATCAGGAGAACCCGCAGTATCCCTTTTTAAACTTTTTTCGTATTTATTTATTTATTTAATTTAATTTTTTTATTTTATATTTTTAAATTTGCACTAATTGCTTGTACTGTTTTTTCTTTTTCGAGTAATTTCGTTGCACCCCTGTGGAGCAATGACAAATAAAGAATTCTGATTCTGATTCTGATTATTTAGCTAGCTTCAGACTTAGACAAACTTTATTGGCAAAAATGAAATTTTGATGCATACAGCTTTTCAAAAGTGCAGGAGCAGTTTAGTAGTAAAATGAACATTTCCATTAATAAATGACGGAATGATGATGAAGATTCAGAGCTAAATAAATAAATAAATATGGTGAAAAATGCAGCAGATCACTCAGCTGAGTTCTCTGTTGGGATCTGGAGCTGTACCACCTTCCTCCAGCAGAGTGCGCCATGGGTCTCCTGTAGCTGGAGTCTTCCAGCACACCTGAGATGCATCTACTCATCAGGAGACCTGCCCTTTATAACCAGCTGCCAGACCTTGCTTCGACGCCGCAGTGTTGACCTTAGTTTGGTTAGCGACCCGAGCCTTCGAAACTGATAAGAATCTTAGTTGTCTCTAGAGAGAGATCTGATTCAAACTCTCTTCTGTTTTTGTCTCTCAGGAAACCTGTCTCTAGCCTGAAGCTCTGGATGAGCTTAACCTGCCAATCTGCCCTGGAGAGCCAAACCTGAAGATTCCAATGTGGATTCTCCTGCTGCTCTTAGTGAAGAGCTGAAACTCTAATCAAGGTCTGCCATTCAAAGTGAGAAGCTAGACGCTGCAGCTGCTCGTGTACTCTGCTGAACAAACAGTCTTTGGACCCAACGGTTCCTCCTCTCTCAAAGAGAAGCCCGGATTCAGTCAAGGTAGAATTCTGAAGTATCTAAGGACTCATGCTCATCTGCCTGCCTTTCTAATCAAACTATCATCTCTGCAGACTTCAGTGAACCAGCCCGGACCAGTTCAAGATCCTGTATTTAACTTGTATTATTGCACATTCAATAAACTCTGTTAAACCTTTTACCCAGCCTCCGTTGTGTTCTGCATGTGGGCTAAGCAACTAAAACCCATCATGACATTCTGTTTATATAAAAATTTGTTATATAAAAATTTGCCATGTAGTGCAAATATGATGTTCACAGTGTGATGCAGAGTCTGGATTTGTGACTTGATTAGAGTTTCAACAGTCTGGTGGCGGGGATGAAGTTGTTGCAGAACTTGCTGGTCCTGCATCAAATGCTGCAAAGCATTTTCAGCCGCCACTGTTCGCTCCGTTCTGTTTCTTCTGGACTGTTACCTGGATTCTGCCGGCTGCTGACCTTGGACCTGTCTTCTGACCACGGTTTGGATTACCCTCCAGGATCAGTTGGACCCTCTGTCTGAAGCATGCTGTTACTTGGCCATTATGACCAGTATACCTGGCCCTTCAGCAGACATCTCAAAGGAACTATAAAGTTACAGAGCCGCAAAGATGAGAAATATGCACTACCCATCATATTTCCTTAGAGGAATATGTTTGAATTAAGATTAATACAACCCATTCAGAAGGTATTTTATTGCATTTCATTATTTGTCAGAGATAGGGTTTTGTTGTAATTATCTACATACTTTAGGTTCTGATATCATGTTTTTCCAGTATGAACTGGAAGAGATCTGGAATACGATGGTGATACAGATTGAGAAGTTTACTTAGTCTGGAGTTGATCCACCTGTTCAGTCCCTATTCTGTGCCGTTTGTCGTTCTTTGTTAAAGTTTGTAGTTTCCTTCACATGCTGCTCTTGGTCTTATAAATAAAACTTTTTTTTCTTCATCTCAATCTTAATCTTATTCTTAAATACTTTTAAGGCTAGGCTTAAAACTTTCCTTTTTGATAAAGCTTCTAGTTAGAGTGGCTCAAGTTATCCTGAGCTATCTCTATAGTTCTGCTGCT